AGTATTTATTGGTTAATTGTAAGAAGAGAGCCCGAACCTGAAAGGTTTGAGAGATACTATTATTGTTTATGTTTTGGATTACCATTAATATCTACAATTGTTATGTTATCAACTAAAATTATAGAACCTGTTGGAGGTTGGTGTTGGATCGGTGATCGTTACGATGGGTTCAGATTTGGTTTGTTTTATGGTCCTTTCTTTTTCATTTGGGGAACATCTGCAATTCTCGTTGGTTTAACATCAAGATACACCTATTCAGTAATTCGTAGTAGTGTCTCAGATAATAAAGATAAGCATATGACCTATCAGTTCAAATTAATCAATTATATTGTAGTTTTCTTAGTTTGTTGGGTATTTGCAATTGTCAATCGTATTCTTAATGGTCTCGATAAATTCCCTACAGTACCAAATATTTTGCATACTTACTTTAGTGTATCCCATGGTTTCTTTGCTTCGATTACTTTTATTTATAACAATCCTTTAATGTGGCGTTACTTTGGTGCAAAGTTCTTAATGATATTTGCACAATTTGGCTTCTTTGTAGAAACTCAGCAACGTTTAGAATTAAATAAAAACAATAATAATCCATCACCAATTATGAGATCCAAAGTTGTAGATAACGGTGCTGACTCCTCCGTAGTAGAATTACCTTGTTTATCAAAAGCAGACTCTTTATCATTGGATAATGATAATATAGAAACTCCAACACAAACAACTACAACAATTAAAAAAGATGATTCAACAAAAAATGAAGAAGTTTAATAATATATAAATAATATAAATAATATAAATAATATAAAAATATAAATAATTTTCAATAAACCTATAATAGAAATTATAATTTTAGAAATTATAATAGCAATAATATAATAATAACAGCTAATAATAGTATTGTAAGAAAACTAATTACCGTTCTTAAAGTAATAATAAAATATATTTGTACTATACAAAAAAAAAAAATAAAAAATAAAAAATTCTAAAAAAAAAAAAATTATTTGTATTTAAATAGGTTTTATTATGTTTTGTTGTAATTTATTGAGGAAATTGTCTTGCATAATACTCTTTTTCTTTTTCTAAATTTTGCTCGTATTGTATATAAACTTTATTGATAGCTTCAATTTTTCTTAATTGGAAAATGATAATGGTTCTAATTTTATCTCTTATATCTTGCTCCTCTTGTTGGTAATACTTTTTGGTTTCTAAACTTATTGCTTCTAATGCTGCAACTGTGGCTGCTTGAATTGCTGCTTCAGAAGAAAAATTCTGGGTTTGGAACCGGTACTCTTGAACGTTTAGCTGGGATTAAGAAAAGTGGTTTTTCTGGTTCAATTTCTTCATCTAATTCTTTATCCTTATCTTCACCCTCTTTCATTTCTTCATCTAATTCTTTTTCATTTATTGAAGTTTCTAATTCTTTATTTTCATCTTTGTTTTCAATCTTATTTTCATCTTTTTTATCTTCAATATTTTCTTTCATTTCCTGATCCATATTTTCTTTTGTTGGCTCTTCCTTTTTATCTTCAATTGTTGGTGTTGATGTAGCTTCTTTATTTTCAGTTGTCTCTTTATTTTCAGTTGTCTCTTTATTTTCAACTGTCTCTTTATTTTCAGTCGAGCTTTCATTTGGTTCCTTTTTATCTGTATTTTCGTTAGATGTTGATAATTCATTTGATTCATTGACTGTGGTTGGTGTTACAGTTGATGGAGAAACAATAGAGTTATTATTTTCGCTTTCTTTTACTGGTGCAGTTGGTATTTCAGGATTCTTTTATTTCAACTTCCATTTTTTCACCTGTATTATCTACATTTTTATCTATATTATTATCTGTGCTATTATTATTATTTGTATTACTATTATCTATATTATTTTCTATTGAAGCTGTAGTTGTATCTTCTGATTTGTTCTGATTATTTGAATTATCATCTGTTATTGTTGAAGTTGAAGCTGGGATTGTGTTTATATTTTCTGTTATAGTATCACCATTTGTTGATGTTGCAATAGTTGTATTTTCAGGTTTTTCAATTGATTTACTTCCTTCTTTTAATTCATTATCTTGTTGAGGTAAATTTTCTTCAATTTCTTTTTTTTCATTTTCTTTTTCTGTCTCTTCTTTTTCTTTTTCTAAATTGTCTTTTTGTTCGGGTTCTTTATCTTTTTCTTCATTTTCCTTTACAGTATCCATTTCTTTTTCTTTTTTTTTTTCTTCTTTTCTTCTTTTTCTTTTCTATCTGTTTTTTTCTTCTCTTCTTTTTCTCTTTTCTTTTCTTTTTCCCTTTCCTTTTTCCTTTTTCTCTTTTTCTTCTTTTTCCTTTTCTTTTTCTTTTTCTTCTTTTTCCTTTTCCTTTTCTTTTTCTTCTTTTTCTTTTTCTTCTTTATCTTTTTGTTCTTTTTCTAATTTTGCTTTTTCTTCTTCAGTTGGTGGTTGATATTTTGGATCATTTAAAATTTCTAAAGCAGCTTTGGCAGCTTTAGAAGCAATAACACCTAATGGAGCTAACGGAGTATGGGCTGAAAAGAATGCTATCAACGACATTAATGGGTTGTTTATACCATAACAACTAGAGAATGGATTATTTGATGTTATATCTTTTGTTGTTAACGACTTTATTGCAAACGATGTAATCTTTTTTTCTAAATAGTCATCTTCAATTGGAAGTCTTAAGAAATGCATTAAACACTGATCTGGATTTTTGGTGCCACCCATATATTCGGAAATATCATTCCAACTATCTTTAAAAATTTCAATACCTTCTAATAATAATAAAGTTTCTTGATCAGTCCATCCAAGCTCTTCTTGTGTTGGTGTTTCTATTCGAGTGAATTGATTTGATGGTATAAAACTTTCATAATTACCACTACTATAACAATTTGCACATAAAATCATTGGGTGATATATTTCTGGTATTAAATTTCCATCGATTGTGATCGATCCGGCCATAAGTTGGTATCTTGCTAATGAACAATCTACTTTACATTTCTTACATACAAATCTTGGTTTTTTCTTTTCTACTAAATCTTTTTTAACTGGTTTTTTCACTTTCTTTACTTTTTTAACTTTTCTAACCTTTTTAACTTTATTTGTTGATTCCTTGTCTTCTTCTTTTTCACCAGTTTCTTCCTTATTTTCATTCATGGTATCTCCTTTTTCTTCTTTTTTGTTTCCTTCACCCTCTTGTTGTTCTTTTGAATCTTCAGATTTTTTATCTTGTTCAATTAATTTATCTCCTTCTTTAACTTCAGCCATTGTAATATCTTCTGTTGCTGTTACTGTTGGAGTTTGTGTTGTTGCTGTTGGAGTTGTTGGGGTTTGTGGTGTTGGTCCTGTTGGTATTGATGCTGCTGGTGCTCTTGGTGTTGTTGGTGCTGTTGTTGGAGTTGTGGGAGTTGGTGTTGTTGGTGCTGTTGTTGGTGTTGATACTTGTTTAGATTCCTCTTCAACTGGTTTAGTTTCATTTTCTGTTGGTATTTTATTTTCTTCTTCGATTGGATTAATTTTTTCTTCTTTATCTTTAGCAGTATCAATATTTTCATCAACTTTACTATTCTCTTCGATTGGTTTGGTTTCTTCCATATTCTCTACCGATGTAGCATTATCTTTCTTTTCTTCTTCAACCGATTTGGTTTCTTCAACTTGTTTATCGTTATTATCTGTTGAAATTTCTTCCAATGGTTTTTCTTGAGATTTAGTTTTGTCGTCTTCCTCCATTGGTTTAGCATCATCCTGTTTCATAACCTTATCATCTTCGTTCTCAACCTTATTTTCAGCAGTTTCATCCTTATTAACGGTTGTTTCTTTATTATCATCGACTTTTGGAACCTCCTCACTCTCTTCTACCACCTCTTCTTCCTCTTCAACCTCCTCCTCCTCTTCTTCTTCCTCTTCATCATCACTATTATTATTTTCTTTTTCTTTCATTTCTTGATCATTATCATCAATTGATTCTTCTTTTTTATGCTTTTTTCTATAAAACTCTTGATAGTAGTCAAAACATTGGCTAAATATAATTGGATTGAATATGGCAGAGTAACCACTATTATTGCTAAGGAAACAATTAATTAAATCCCAGTATTCAAGGAAGTCATACAGTTTAACAAGTGATCTGATGTCTTTTCCATTGGTTGATGTGAGTGAAATTGCATCGGTAACTGAAATGTTTTGGTATGGATTCTTTTGATATGTTTCAATTAGAATGTTTCTGTTCTTTTTATAGATTTCTTCGGCTTTATCTTTGCTACTACTATTAAAAAATTCTGGGAGTGATTGTTTTTCATAACTACTAACCTCTTCGAATGAAAACCATTTGGGTGGATTTGGAGATTTTGGAATTTTATTAACTGGTAGAATTGAATTATTTTCGACAGTTGTTGATTGTATATCGTATGTTGGACTATCACTATTGGCTAATTGATACAGTTGTGAGGCGGTTCTTTTTGGTTTTGAAATATTTAATAAAACTAAATTTGAAGAGGATAACAAAGATTGGTGAGGGAATGCATCTGGTTTATTATTTTGATATTGTTGTAAAAGTGGTGGTAATGATGATTGTGTACCTTGTGATGATGAGAATGATTTACCAGTACGTGCTTTATAGGGTGTGGATGATGAACCACTAAATTTAGAGAGTGGGGTGACGGGCACCGGTGTATTTAGTAATGAAGATTGTTTATTTGGTGTTGATGGTGGTGATGATAATGATGATAGCAATGGTAGTGGTTTACCAAATGACAATGCAATCGGTGGTTTATTTGGTGATATTATAGATTGTGGATTTGGTGATAATGTTAAATTTGGTGTCATTCCAGCTGATATTAAATTTGGATTATTCATTGTTAATTGTGGTACCATTTGTGTTGTGGATGTAGAATTTAATAATGTTGATTGACCAACCATAATTGGTGTTCCACCTGTAACACTTGAAACAGTGGGTGTATTTGTTGTTGGTGTATTAGTACTCATAATTATGATTTTTTAAAAAAAAGTAATATATTTATTTATTAAAAAAAAAAAAAAAAAAAAAAAACAATTTTTATAAATATATATCTTGAATTATAAATTATTAGATTTTAACATTAATTTCCCCAAATTTTATTTTAATTTTTAAATTAATTTTAAAAATAGTTGTATTTATTTAAAAAAAAAAAAAAAATTAATGAAAAAAATTTAAAAAAAAAATAAAAAAAAATAAAAAAAAAAAAATTAAATTTTAAAAAAAAAAAAATTAAATAAAAAAAAAAAAAAAAAAAATTTTAACAGTTAGAAATAATAATTTAAATGGTTTATTTCTTCTTTTTGAAAAAAGGTTTATTTGCCTAATTTATTTAATGATTTTATATATATACATATTTATTTACTAATTTGCGGTGGTTTAAACATATTCCAAACCATATCGGCAACGCCAGGATTCTCTGAACCACTGATTTGAATTGAAAAAGGAAATGGCATTTGATTTGATGCTTGAATTGGAGGAATATTTTTATCTTGATTTACATTCTCTATAATTTTATTTACTGAATCTGTTAATTGTGAAAATAATGTTTTTTGGTCCATTGTGGGCACTAATCGAAATGAAATGATCCATTGTTCCCAACAAACATTTTCTGTGGTAGTTGTAAAAAAATTAGTTTTTGCTCTTTTTTCATAGAATGATATCGATAACTAAAATAAATTAAATTAATTTTTTTTAAGAAATAAAAAAAAAAATATTAATAATTTGGTTGTAATTCTATTTTTATAAAAATTAGGTGAGAAATTACTTGTGCTGTTTTTGCTTTTCTTTTTATAATTGATGATAGTAATTCTTCAGATTTATCCTCTATATTCTTTGATGAGGTTGGATCATCTGCTTTAACATATGAAAACTCTACACAGTCCAATGTCATATCTCTAGGTTTAACCGTTCCTAATGATCTCTGAAATAATATCGAATGTAAAATACCTAAAATATAACAATAAAAATATTATTATCAATACATCAAAATTTTATTAAAAGCCTATCTTTATAACTATTTGAATATAATAATTTACATTGTACTACTTCTTTTAGTTGAGAATATTGTAAATTCTAAAATTATATGAAATGGAAAATTATAAAATTAGTATTACATAATATTAAATAAAAAATATTTCTAATATTCACAATTTCTTCTAATATATATTGATTACAATTCATTATGAGTATTTTTATTATAGAAATTTGGGGTACTATAGTTAAATACTTAGATAAATAAAATAAAAAAAACTTAATAAAATTTTAAAAAAATTAAAAAAAAAAAAAATTAAAAAAAAAAAATTAAAATAAAAATAAAAAATTTTAATAAAAATAAAATTTAAATTAAAAATAAAAAAAAAAAAAAAAGATCTTTTTGAAATTATAAGATAAAATAATAATTTCCTTTTCTAAATTAATAAAACTCTTTTACTTGATTAATATTATAATTAAGTTAATTAAATGTAAAATTTCCATCACCACACTTCAAACTTCTTACAAAACTTGGTCAAATGTACTAAATAATAATTTTACTGATTTATAAATTTTTTTTTTATTTTTTGATTGCGAAGTTATAAAAATTAATTTTTTTTTTATTTTTATTAAAAAAAGGTCATTTTTTTTTTTTTTTTTTAATTTATTTTTTTATTTTTTTTATTTTTTTATTTTTTTTTTCTAATTTATATCTTTTTTATTTTTCATTATTTGTTATTTTTTGGAATATTTTCGAATAAATAATATCGATACAAAAATTATTTTAGAACTCTTGTTGATGTTCCGAGCAACAAATCAGTAACCAATTGATAAAGATATTGGAAATTTATTATATAATGCTTAAAAAAGTAAACCAATTTTAACTTTTTGGCTCAAATGATAGATATGCAGGTACTTCTAATACATTTACAAATTATGATAAAACAATTCCATGCACAACTTATAAACCACAAGTTAAATACCATAATCAAACAACTATTATAATTAGTGGTATTGATATTGGTCATCAACTTAACTATTATTATGTTGGTTCAGTTTCATTAGCCGCCGAGTGTATATCTGTTCCACAAGCAATTATTAGATATGGTGATGAATATTATTGTGCTCAAGACAATTATCTTCAAAATCTAAATATTATTTTTAAAATTTTCAGGTAAATGTGAATGTTATTTAGGATATACATCATTTGATTGTGGATTAATTCTTGGAGGAGACAAAGACAATACAACAACAAATGTAGATAACAGCACAGGTATTGTAGATATTGACAATGAAAGAATCAACTTTAAAATCTACCTCAAATCATTAAATGAAATAGATATTAATAATAATATTGTCAAGAGTTATCCATTAATATCAGATTGGACAATAAACAAAACACAATCAAACATTTATACATTCGAACAATCACCAAACCAAGACGAGTTCAAAGTTATTTCAACTATGAACAAACGACAGAATAGTTTCATTTGCAGGAGTTGACTTTTTACTCACCAACAACCCAATTAAATTCACAGTTTCAATTAAAAACTATAAATACCAATCATTCTTAAACACCCTTCAACTCAAAATGGAATCAAATACAACCGAATTAATCAATGATTGCAACACTAAAGAAATTTAATTATACAGTTATATTGTACTCTCAAAGAATAATATCGATTTTGTAGGTAGATTCGTCAACAAAGTAGTATCAGACTCAAGGCCAACATTTTTAACAACATCATACATAAACTCAACGGCTCAGTAACTATCACAATACACTTACCACATTGTGCCAATGAATTTTAGTCGATCCAGGTATAATTTAATTAATTCAATTTATTTTTTTACTATTATTTTATATTAACGATTTTATTTTTTTATAGATTCCTCAATGTTAATATCTTCAAAAATTTCATATTGCAAATCAAAACAAATTATCAAATGGAAGATAGTGGTTGGTGTTGTTGTAGGTACTGTTGGTGTGACCTGTATTTGTGTTTTTATATAGGGAACATTTATTTAGGTTAAAAATCAAAGAAGCAAAAGAGATTGTATCGAAAAAATTTAAAATATTCTGGATATTAAAAATTATCGTTATCGTTTATCATTTTTTGTATAATCAAAGGGAAGATTTTATCCAAAAACCAATTTTTTTAAAAAAGATAAAAATAGATAATGTAAAATAAAAAAAGTTAAAAAAAAGGATAATAAAGTGTCTGGAATAAATATGCCTTTTAATTCATATTACAAGATATTGGTTAATTTGTTAAATAAAAATAAATAAAAAATTTTGTCACAAAATTCCGTTTTTCGATTGTATTTTTTTACAATTAGATAAAATTGATCATTATTATTTAATATTTAGTATATCCTCCGTGCTTTATATATTGTACCCTTTCAGTCAGGGATTTATTCAATAATTGTCCTTTAAAATTAAGAGGCCCCAAATAATAACAAATCATCAAGTTATCACAATATCCGGCTTTGGCGCAATGGTAGCGCGATTGACTGTAGTAGAATTTCTGTTATCAATCGGTTGCTAGTTCGAGTCTGGCAAGCCGGATTTTTTTATATAAAATATCTTTTCTGTGATTTTTTTTTATTGCGTTCCCATGAACTGGGGGAGCAAAGATAGCCAAGTTATCTGGGACCGCTCCGGGTTCGAAACCCAGTCGCAGGTTTTCCGAATCACACACGAATTGACGTTACCGTGCCCAACTTGTATGCAGTGTGGTAAAACTCATCATTAAACAAATACCAAACAAAAACAAAAACAATAAAACAAACTGATGACTTCGTCTTCAGAATTCACTGAATATAATGATTTTTCCAAAAAAATGATTTATTTTCTTTGAGATCAAACAAAAAAAATAAATGAATTTTGAAAAAAAATATTTCGAAAAAAATTAAAAGTGAATATTTTATTATTAATTTGTTTATGTGTGTTTTTTATTTGTATTTTAATCATTCTATTTTAGATATATTTAAATAATCATTAATGATAGAGTTTTCGACAATATCTATCCTTGAAACAGTGGCCCATTCTCTTAATAAAAGACATTGTTCCATTCTATTCAAAGCCAATTCTGGGTTAGTTAAAAACAATTGGACACCAGAAAAGGTTTTTTCTATTTTAACAGATGAAGAAGCAACCGAAAGTACATTTCTTACAATTGAATACAATGTTGGATATACAGTACTATTTTCTTTCCAATATGTAATTGTGTCATTTCTTTTATCTAATCCCTCTTTTAAATACATTTGAATTTCCCTATACTTTGAAAAACATGTATTTTTATCTTTTTTATTCATCTGGAGCAAAGGAAGATCATCTTGGTTGGATGGATCGTTTTCTTTAGTTGGTTTTTTATTATGGAGTTTTATAAATTCTTTTTTATAAAGCTTTTCAAGTTGCTGAATATAAAATGATTCTTTATTATTGATATATTGATATTGAAAAAATTTGTTTTTTTCATTTGGATTTAAGATCACTGAAATGTAGTACAAATTGTTTCTGTCCATTAAAATAAAGAATTTATAAAGCTTTGATAATAATTTGACAATGTTTCCTTTGAATTTCTTATAGGCTTTCGAATGGAGATGGGATTCATAGGTGAATATTAATGATAAAATTGATGGAATTGATTCGCTTATATTATATTTATATTTTGAAAAATTGGAACTAAGTATTAAAAGGGGAGTTAACAATTTGAAAACGGTTTTTAAATCTATCCATTCATCATCTGTAAAATTTTGGAATCGAAGACTGTGGTGATTAAAAAGATAGTTAATTTTTGGTTGCATTACAATTAAACTACCTAGTAAATTTTGAAAAGATTTCAACTTGGTTAGCACATTTGTTTTCAATGAAGTTTCAGTCTTTTGTAAATATTGATTAGAATTCAAAATTTTTTCCATCTCTTGATCGAGTTTTTCCATTGTTTCTTCATTAATTGTTTTAAAAAGAGATTGAACTTTTTTTTTGTTTAAAGCAGTGGCAAATTCTTGGATTCTTTTAAAAAAGCTATCGTAGGATATTTCTTTTTGTTCAAAATAATTGGATTCTTTATAGTTGGAACTTTCTGTTTGTAATTCTTTGATTTTAGAGAATATTTTTTTTTTAAATCGCTCTCGGATGGATTGAAATCCAATTGCTCGATTGTAATATTTGAAGGTTTTTTTTTGTCTTTTATAAAAGAAGTAAAAGCTGAATTTAAAATATGATTAAAGCATCTAGTAGCGGAATCGTTAAAAGAACAATCTACAATTTTTTCTTCACAGAGCATTTTGACTGCAGAGATACCATGTGAAGCATTGTTTAAGGAAATTGAAGAAATTTTATTTGATAATTGATATTCTTCTGCAACTTGTTTTATTTTGCTTGATATATCGGCAGTAGAATTTTTTTTTGAAAGCTTGGCAATTGCAATTAATATAACAACTACTTTTAATTCATTTGTTAAGTATTGGCACCTAACACCCATAAATTTTTTTCCTTTTGGAGATGACCACAAATCAATTATTAAAGAGACATTTGAGGTTACTTGCGATAATTCGTTTAGAATTAATAATTTATTATATTTGAATAGTTTTTCAATATCATTTGCACAAATTATGCTGTCTACTTTGTCTACTGATAACTATTAAAAAAATATTAACCTGTTAATGAAAATTAAAACATTTTAATTAAATAAAACTTTTACTAACTTTTTCAGCAATTTCTTCAAAAAAATAATCATTTGCAAGAGTAAATGGAAGATTATTTCTACATATAAGCAATGCAATTGCATATCTAAAGCAATTTCTATCTTTTAACATTTTTGGTGAATTTACAGCTTTGGTAAGGGGATTATCTGTAGTGAGAAGTGGAGCTATCTCTTTGGTATCTACAACTTTGGTAAAGTGATTATCTGTGATTGGTGGAGTTGTTGACATTTTATTTTTTTCTCTGTATTTTTTAGCGGCTAAACATTCATTGTCTATTAAAAAAAATAAAATGTTAGAATATAAATTAATTTTTGAATTAATAAAAATAAATAAAATTATTTATACTTTACCATTTGTAAAATGATATCTGATGTTATAGGTCGAAGTATATCCAACGCTTTTCTCACACTTCATAACACAGGCAAGTTTGGTTTTGTAATCTAATTCATTAGCGCATCCTTTTTTTAATTCTTGTATTTGAGATGGTTGTAAAATTGAACAATGCATACTTTTACCAATTTTAACCAATAAATTTGAATATTTGAATAATTCATCACTAGTTTTTAACATAATATTATCTTTCTTTAATTTCTTGTTTTTAAATAAAGATACTTTATTTTTATCACCATTTCTTTTACTACCATTTTCAACAACCAATTCATCAGGTATTTGATTAATACTTTGTTGGGTGCTTTCTTTTGGAGTAGAACCATCTTCTATTTTAATAAATAAAATATCATCCTCACTTTCTTCGTTATCATTTTCACTTTCATGTTTAATTTCATGAGAGAACTCATTTTTCATTTTCTTATTTGGCATTTTATAGTTTTTTCCTTCATAATCAATTCTTTTGTTTTCAGTTTTTACATACTCATCCATTGTTTGCATTTGAGCGGATGTTGATAGATTTTTGTCTTCAAATGAATTCATTCTGGTATTTAGTCAGCAATTTTTTAAAATATATGTATTATATTTGAAATGGCTGCTAATTTTAAAAAAAAAAAATTAAAAAAATTAAATTTTAAATTTTTATAATAAAAAAAAAAGAATTGGGGGGGAAACTTTGAAATTAACGGTGCTTTTACACTTTTTTATTCCCACACCAGGTTTTTTTAATTTTATATATTATTAAACTTTTTAAAATTACTGGATAATAAATCAACATTATTATTATTGATTAAAAAAAAAAAAGAAAACAATATTTTATAATATAAAAAACTTTTATTAATAAAATAATTTTCAAATGCTGGTTTATTTATATATTCTAAATTTAGGGCTCATTAATAACTTTGGGCCTTTTAACTTCCAAAACAAAACGAAATACCTTCTAAAACACCAGTATTAATAAATAGTTGAGCTTTCTTGTTGTGTGTGTTTCAAATTCACCCATATTTTTATTTCCTGGACTTTTTTTATTGTCTTGATTATTATTGTTGTCACTTAGCTTTGAATATACGGTTCTTTATATTTAATAAATTGAGTTCTTTATTTCATTTTTGTTTTATTTTTTATTGATATTTTTTATACAGATGACTAATGTTGAGGTAATTCTAAATATTGTTCTGTATATATTCTATATTACTAAATTTATTTGATTCAATAGTTAAATATACTCGATTGTTTTTTGAATTGTTTGTCTGCTAAAATCCTGTTTGAATCATTCAGTATACTAATAATGGTCTTTGAAAGAGCTTATATCGTTTACCCAATTCTCTAATGATTTATGAATTGCAGCGAGCCAGCAGTTAATAGAGAGGTTGGTTCATAACCATAGTTTGCGAAAAATGGAGTGACTTGGTTGTGCTTGATACAGAATGACCATTTGTTTGGAGATGAGCTGGAGTTGAAAAATTTAATTTGGTACTTATGATTTTGTTTGGAAACCATGTAATAATACTTATTTAAATATCAGTGTCTCTTCTGCATTTACCACTATCAACAGATTATCATTATGGTTCTTTGATTTCTATTAGCTGCTAGTGTATACTGAAATTTGAACCTTGAGCTTGAATTTTTGACTTTTTTGGCACAAATGACCTATAATAAGCAAATTTGGTGATGTTTGGTGTTACTGTTATTATTTGAGAGGATTGCTTTGGTTTGGCACTATATTGATTTTTAACTATTAATTATCATAAAATATTTAATATTAGCTTTCTTAAATGCTTCTAATAACTAAGGGCTGATGGGAATGATTATTGATTTACTGAGTAAATTCTATTATTAATTTTTTTTGGTTTCTTTTTTTTTTTTTTTATATATAGATGACTAATGTTGGGGTATTTAATTATTGTGTTCTATTATTATATTCGATATTTAAATGTATATTAAATTATTTTTTGAATTGTAATGGTTTGATTGATTGCTAAAATCCTGTTTTGATTCAGAACCTAATACTGAAAAGATTTCGGGTTGGCCAAACTCTAATATTACTTTTAGCTATTAAGATGCCGTCCACATTATTAAATTGTAGTGGTTAGCCTGAACTATTTTAGATAATTTATTAATATTTGCATACAATCTCTTTTAATAGGTTCGCTGTGTATTTGACAAACATAGCTTTAAACTATATAAAGATTTAGTGATCACTTTTGATATCGATGACAGCAGCTGATCTATTTTTATAAACTGTCTTTTGAAAATTAATAAAAGTTAATTTAATTTATTAGTAATCCTGTTTCTATGTCAGTGATTCTGCGTCTATTTTTTATATTTCTTCAACGATGCCACTTTCTATATGTATATGGGTTTGTTATTGTTGCTGTTGATGTTTTAAAATAATGTATTAATTTACTTACTTGTTCTCAAAAGGTTTTAAACATATTTCAGAAATGTTAAAATTATTATTATTATTGATTGTATGTGCTATAGTTTACATTATTAAAATTATTTATGTGTTTGTTGTGATCGAAAAAAATAAAATAAAAAAATTGAAAAAATTTTAAAAAAATTTGTAAAAATTTTCTCTTTTTTTTTTTTTAAAAATTATTCATTTTTATCAATTTTATAAAATTTGCTGATAAATCTAAAATATCTTAAAAAAAAAAAGTAAATAAAATCTTTAAAATGAAAAAAGTGAGGTGTATATATTTTTTAAAATAATTTAATTTTTTTAATTTAATTTATAATAAAAACTATTAATTATTAAAATTTATTATATAAAGAATTTTTTTTATAATTACTATTTTTGTTATATATTGAAGCGATTATGATTACGATTATTAATATTTTATGATATAAGTAAAAATAAAAATAAAAATAAAAAAAAGAATCTATTGATTGTATATTTATTTGTTTTTTTAATTTAAGAACTTGATTTAAATAAATATTAAATTTTAATTTTTGTTTTTCAATTTCTGTTATGTTCTGATGAAATAAGCGTATGGAGTCGAAAATTTGGAACTTAAAAATACAATGGAATGATGCATAACTGCCATGGATGCGAACTGGGTTCAATTACATGGACAAATTTATTTAAAATGATAATAATAAATAATGATTTTGTTATACCATTACTTTAACATTGCCCTTACTGCATTACCACAAAATGCACTATTCTCACTCCCATCACCTGCTACAACATTTAATTCACTACTTGAATCACTGACGAAATTATCTTTAACTTTTCTATAGAGTTGAAAAAATGAAATGACCATAAATAAAGAAAATAAGTATTAAACATTATTATAACTGAAAAAAATGAGTAATTTGGTGATTAAAGAACTGCAAGGTGTAATTTTTAAAGAATAAATTTAAAATAAAAAAATAATTTATAAAAAAAATAAAATTTTATTATTAAAAAATAATAATAAATATATTGTGATTGATGTTTATTATCTAATAGGGAAAATGGTTTTTTATTAAATTATAAATATCCAATTGAAATGGGTGAAAAAATTAAAAAAATTATTTTAATAATTTAAAAAGGGTATTTTTTAATATATTTCAATATAAAAATATCTAATAAATGAATATAATATTTCTTTTATAATAAAATGTGTAAATAAATATAATTATTCTAATAATGTTCTCAATGTTTTATTAATATAATTTAAACTTTTTTTTTATATAGTTTTTATTTAAAAAAAATTAAAATAAAATATGTAATAAATATTTTTGTTTTTAAATATATAAAAGATTACTAATTAAATTTATTTTAATGATACACCAACTAAAGAAGAAAAAATAGAAACAACAAAAAAGAAGAAAGAGAAAAAGAAAATAAAGTAAATTA